CCTTGATTCGACTAACCAATCAGCGTCGCCAAATGAGTCGGTGATAGCGTCTAGTGACTTTTATGGAAACCAGGTTTAAACACACAGAAATGACTTACTGTCACAGAGCATAGGAAAACAGAATTGAAAGGAAACTAGGATGAAGAAAGACAAGCATTATTACTGAAATCCTGCTGGCTGGTCACAAACAATTTATTTTGAAAACAAGGTCTATATCAGTGGATTCTGCACAATAATTAGGTGTGAAGGGATGGGGGCTGTTTCTTTAAACATTGCATCACTATCACAGCTCAAAACATTAATTTATTATATACTATTTCAAAATTTAACTAAGGTTAGAAGTTTCCACACACTGTTTGAAAAGTGTAGGCTAGATAACATAATTTTATAGTTTGATAATCAAAATTTGATTGTTTGTCTTACCAACACTCGTATCTTGCAAGTTTGTTATCTAATTTGTTCAGGCATCTGCAGAAAATGATTTGTTTTGTATTATCAAGTATATGTCCGTTCAAAATGAATAGTCAAAAGTCTTTAAGACCTGAGCTACCATAAACCAGTAACAAACAATAAAACTATCCGAAAAGCTAAACATCCCTGCCACCTCCACCTTCTTTAAAAATTCTGGATCCAATGACTACAGGTTTAGCAAGATCTTCGTTAGGCTGGTTGCCTGCATTAAGCCAGTTTTCCACCAGGCGAATTTGTTCGCGCAAATCGAAAGCGTTGGTTATTACGCATGCGCATTTACATTTCTATCGGGTTTTTGCGAAGCGAAAAAATGTGCAACCAATCAGAGCTCAGGAAGCGAACCGACGCTTTAATTTGTGCGAATAAATTCGCCTAGTGGAAAACCGACCGGATTGTGATATACTGTAAACATCAGAAAGCATATTGAAATACTGTACTGTACCTGCTGTATGAGGTATGTGATGAACTTCAATCTTTATAATAGGTAGATAAGCCAGTACTGTAGTTAACCTGTAACTTGTCACTTCCGAAGAGCCTAAAGGACTGTAAAGAACTCCTGATATCTGAACAACTGCAGCAAGCTAGCATAGCTGGCAAATTGTCAAAAATTGAAAACTTAATGAAACTCAACCCAAATAATAGAGGTGACACACTGACAGGCCTAAGGGCAAACTTCCTTATGAATACTATATAATGACGTCTTAGATCCCTTTATAGTAATTAATCAACATCACTGTTAAAAGTACCATTCTGCATTCTAAGTGGTTGAAAAGGTCAAGAAATTATGACCTTTTTAAGGATTCAAAAGGCATCGATACAAACATAAACCAATCGATATTCAGACTGTTTAATCTGCATATTGTTCATCACAAGGGACACCAATTTACATATCACACCTTAGACTTACAGTAGAGGCACGCTCTCTAATGCCTAATTCCAATGCACAGTACAAATAGCTATAATCACCGTTATGGTAAACAGAATGGTAAGATTTTGCAAGTAAACTATAAGTAAAGGTACAGTAGGAGAATATCCCACAACTCGCAGAGTAATTGTTCTGTACTGCATATGGGCGTGGTCCGTTCTTTAAAGTGCACACTTCACCCCAGAAGACTTTGTTCTATTAATCAAACCCTGGGCAAGGAGTGGTTCTAACCAGCGTCAATGTTAAGGCTGTAGTTAGTGGTGCCAGGGCTGCCTTACCACTCGGCCACTTGACTCATCCAAAGTAAATGTTAATAAGAATTAGTTAAACATTATTGCTTTGTGTTTACCCAATAAAAAAAACAAGCAAAAGGGATAAGAAAGAATGAACTTTAATATCAACACAATGACTTAACAACATTTCCATCCTGTGAGTATTTTTACGGAAGGCCATGAGGAACCAACAGAGGAAGACACAAGCAAAACAATTTATTCAATAAAGTATTTTAGTTTATACCACAGATGCTACCACATATCTATTTCACATGAAGCCCAGACCCTAGAGAATCCAGCAAACACAAAACCCAGGAAGAATATTACAAAGATCAACTTAATTTACTATTAAAAATACTTGATTCAAATTCTTAGATCTATGTCACCAATTAAATTACAATAACGCCACATAGAGCTACAGTATTGTAAGTAAAATTTAACAAAATACAGCAGTACATATACAGATTGTTCTGTTTATATTTTCGAGAATCTCAAATTTCTCATGCTTTCCAGGTCCCCAAATTCTGTCGAATTCTCTTGATATTTCGTCAATCTAGAGAAATGGGAAAACAATTTATGAAAGCACGTCTTATTTATTGACAGGAGAATATATGACAAATCAACAATGATCGAGCATCTGTTAAAGAACATTCATGATTTTTTTTTTTCTATTAATCTATTAAGATTGATCAGGTCATGTCATACTTACTATAAAACAGTGAAATATTAATACTATGCCCTACATACAGTACAGTAATGCAGAAAATCTCGGGAGTGATGTTAATTCTCAAGATATACCCACCATCCCCTCCCCTTTCCCTACTGTGGAAACCCTGTGCCTTCTGCACAATGAACAATTAAACATTGGCAATTTTTGTAAATTTCTGTTCCAAGATTGGCACCTCTGTATACCATATTACTAGTGAATGGTACCTTCATTTGATTCATCATATATTACAGAGTATATTTTTAACTCCATAATTCAATCTACCTGATCAACTCACCTGGAATAACTACAGTAAATAAGTTTCCTACTTGAGGGAATAAATTCATCTTTGTGTCCAGAAAGGACATTCTCCTAAAATACCATGAACAAGGGCACCAATGATATTCCCCCTGTGAAATATGTATGCATGGGGATAAGGAAAATAAACGATGAAATAGAAATTTGACAAATACCCAGTGTATACCTAGTAAGCCACAAACCAGCCAATATGATCAGCTGTATCAGCAATAGGTCAATTCCATGCTGATAATATTGTTTTTAGTGTACAATGTCAACTTAGCAAAGTTTTCACTAAGGCAGGGTACAATACTGGTCCTGTCCAAGTTTTAACTCAAGTTTGTTTACGAACATTGAATAAACGATAAAACGTGAAGTGAGTATAAACAAATAAATAACTTTTCTACTAGTAGTACTGTATCTACAAATAACATTTAATAGTGCTGCATTGTTTGACATACTCAGGTGAAGAAAAAAGGAAACAACATCATCCTATATTAATAATGTCTTAACAAAAAGGCAACAAATCAAGTGTTGTTTATATTATAGTATTTATTATTAATGAGAGATCACTAATTAAAATAGGGAAAAAAACAAAAGCAACTATTATTAAACTCTAACTTTCTGTTAAATTAACATTGCTGGAACTGCTATTGGTTCAAGATCAGTATAGATTAAACCCTATAGTAAATGACTTGACACACAATTAAGAATGGATGGATAAACAAACAAAATGGCAACGTTAATTAAATTACATTATCCTATAAGAGTACAAATAACTTAAGACAAAATGAACTAACCTTTTGTAACACTAATTATTATTAATATTATTCTGTGTTTCTTTCTACAATTCTTTGCCAACATCATTCTCAAATCAATTCTGCATATTTTTAATATCGTCTCTTTTCAATAATATATGTCAAGTCGAATGACGTCTATCCAGAGATGGAATTGCTTCCTTTGCAATGAACTCTTATTCCATTCTGCTTCCATATGATTTCAATCCACCTTTTACCCAATGGACTGAAAGGTTAACATTTACATGGTCTCATTTCCATGCCACACCTAATCAAATTATAGACAGTATTGCTGATAATAATATCTTCAATGATCCATCACAAAGTTATTAATAATGTATCCTATAATAAAATTACAACAGAAAGTTACTATTGTTATTATTATTAGCCATTCTTTGTGAGAATATTAAGCTACCAGTGACTAGTGTACCTAGTAGTATGTTATTTATGGCTTGAGGTTGCACACAACTAAACTATTAAACTATTCTGAAGACTGAAACCAAAAATGCAATAAAATGCAAATCAAGGACTAAACAGAGACAGAAGAAAGACACAAGCAAACATTAGAAAATGTTTCTAAGTAAAGATACTGTAAAACTTGAATTGATGCCCTGGGCTTTTTTTTTTTGCAAACTTTAAATGGGCTTCTTTTTGAGGTCGGCTTCCTTTTGAGGCTACCTTTGCACGGTAAAGAATAACATAAACTACTGTATATTCCAAGCTTGTTTTTAATTTATTTTGTCTTTGAAATTCATCTCGAAAAGAAGCCTATGCTACAGTATATTGAAAAGAAGCCCATGGGCTTGTTTTCGTGACAGGCTTCTTTTGAAGGCTAATTTTGCAAACTGAAGGGGGGGGGGGGCGCTTTAATTCGAGATGGGCTTCATCTCGTGATTACAAACACTGGGCTTCAAGTTGAGATTTTATGGTATTGTCTTTGTGCAATTTTATACTTTAGTTACATTGTGGTTACAGTTATATTTATACTGAGGTTTACAGTAGTTTGAGTATGAATAATGTCATTACACTGCTAATTGTATAGTTAACACAGACCAGCAATTTAAGTAATTCTTTACCTAAATCATGGTCAAATCCCAAAGGATTACACTATCAAAAGAAATTGATATCATGTGGAAATCAATATAACATTTGATTCTGCAATGTAAGCCATCTATGCTAATTGACGATCTTCTTCATCTTTGGTTGTATATGCAGAAAATAGTCAAATACATAAAATCTAAAACCACTTTTTGAGTGTTTTCATGTGCACAAATACCATGTATGAACCATTCACTTAAAAAAACTAGATCAAATATTACATCAATAAACTACACCACCTACATCATGTTTATAAAACAAACAATCCTATTAAAGAATAGGATATTAATTACAGATGAGTAGATAATTGAATTATAACACCAAACCAAAACAAGCAGCATAATATTATTATCAATGAGTGTTCACTTAATTGACAACCAGTGTCATAATTATACTACAGATCATTGTAATAAACAGAATTTCATTCTCCCTACCTTAGTTTTCAATTTCCATTCTTGGACAGTATTGTGAAGCCATGTTTCTTCGGGCACTTGTCAATACTGTTCTGTAAAAGAGAAACCATATTGATTAATGCAAGGGATTACAAGCCGTGGTGATAAAATATTGTATTTACAGTGTGGGAACCTTCAATGTTGTGTATTCAATTAAAATATTCCGCATGCACTTAATACTAGTAATCCCCTCTGCTGATGGACTAATATAAATATAAAGAAAAAACTATCAAAAAAAAAAACAAAAAAAAAACTGATGGGTTGTAAAAACTACCTTTGACATATATCATAAAATATCGCTACTGTATATAGATTTGGAAGCCTTCAATATTAGTATGCATTCAATTGAGTTTAATCTACTCAGATGCACTAAAAAGGAGGAAAATGAAAGAACCATAAACAAAAATTATTGAAAAGGCTAATGGGTCGTAAAATAAATATGTTAAGAAGAAATCGATAAGAAAACATGTGACGTGATGAAATTCTTTCATATTGTTTAATTAAGTTAATATATATTTAAGTACTGTACTCTCAGGCACTACAGGTACAAGGAAATAAATACAACCATAACAAATGGTTAAATAAGCTGATAGGTCATAAACAAATAAATTGACAAAACTCGGTGACATGAAGATATAACACTGAATTTACACTACAGTGTGGGAAATCTTCTATTGTGAATTAAATTAATTTTTTTTAAATATGTATTCAATGTAGTTTGATGCATTAAAAAAAAGCACAGCCTTAAAATATTTTTGAAAGGCTGATGGTCATAAAAAATTTAAATAAATAAATTGACGACAAGAAAACCTGTCACATGACGATAAAATATTGAATTCACAGTGTGGGAAACCTTCTACTGTATATCAAAATTCAATTAAATTATTCTTTATTATGTATTTTATTAATGTAGGCTGATGCACTAAAAAGGAAAAAGACACAACCATAAAAAAATGATGAGTAGCCTGATGTCATAAAAAAAAAAAAAAATCGATACAGTAAGAGAAAGTAAGACATGATGATAAAATATTTAATGTACTATAGTGTAGGGAAAAATTTTACATTTTGTGAATTAGGTTATTCCTTAATAATGTATTTAATATGTATTTAGCATTCTACTCTGATACACTGAAAACATTTGATATTATATATTCAAAAACAGTAATAGGGCACCAGCAGACTCTGGTAATTGATCTGACAGAATACTGCACCAAGGAGAAAAAAAAAACCAAAATAAAAAAAAAAAAAAATAGTATCTAATTATATAACAAGCAATAGAAAATCAAAAGACAACACTGTAGCAATGACTAGTGTAAACATCTGGCATCATATTATTTTATTAAGTCTTCCATGAAAGAACGAAACACAGAGTTGGGATGGAGGTTAACAATGGAGGAAATGCTTTTATGAAAGGGAAAAAAAACAATGAGTTCAAAAAAAGGGCGGAAGAGGGGGGAGCAGCTGGCTGAGGTAGCATAGACCCTCCATCTGTGAAAATCCCTCTGGCCGCGCGACCCCCCCCCCAACCCCTCTATTTCAAATTCCTGGATCTGCCACTGGTAACAATAATCACAGAAGTTAAAATATCTTAAAATAGATTGGAGTTGAGTAGCTTGGTGGTTAAGAATAAGATAGGTTGCTTTCTATAACATGGTTCTGGGTTCAATTCCTGCCATGTTCACAGGATTGTTTCTCATGTACAAAACAACTCCACTCCACTCCCAAGCCTCATAATAAAACTTAGTCTATGTAGAGCAGGGGTGGGCATAAAAATCGGTCAGAGGGCCAAAGTGAATTTTAGATTTAAAACACTGAGGGCCGCACCTAAACTTTCCAGCGACCTTCCAAAAACCTCCAAGCGCTGCTTTTACACCACTTTATTCTGAGTTTTAATGTTACTTTTTACATATGATCAGTGTCGGGCCGTGAAAAACAAGGTATTTTCAGCCAATGTTGCTTGGCGGGCCACGTACATTGGGTTTTTAATTTCTATTCGCGGGCCGCAAAAAAATCGCCGTCGGGCCCCACTTTGAACACCTGGGATGTAGAGTATCTTATGTGTATGTTTGCCTTGTAACAGGATTGCCACTTTGAAGTGTGATTAAGTTCACAGTTTGGCATATCCTTGGCCCTGCCTAAAGCTGAATAAAAAAAAATTCAAGCAAAACTAAAATGGAGATGGACAGAGTATCTCAACAGAGAATAACAGATGAATAAAAAAAAGCAACAAGAAAATCAATAGAGTAATGAGTTTCAAGATATTATAAAAATATACACCTGACAATATGACACAATGATAAGCTCAACAGATTTCAATCAATATATTTTTTTGTACTTATTCAGGAAAAGGAAGAAGTAAATGTGTCTTAATATTGATGACTAATGTACAGATAACTTATAACCCACAACTTATAACTTATAACCCACAACTTATACTCTTGTGTTTAGATAGACCAAAATTAAAATTCAAGCAACCAAAATGGAGATGAGCAGCATGTCTCAATACAGAGGATAACAGATGAATAAAAGCTACAAGAAGATACATCAAATAGAGAAATGAGTTCCAAGGTATTATACAACACCTGATCATATGACACAACCTTAAAAAAAACACACTTAAGGATAGTTTTACTTAAGGCCATGAAAAAAAATAAAGTAGTTTCTTATCCTAATATTTTGAAAAAAGGAGCATGAGGGCACTTTTTTCTTGACTCCGAGATGCTAAATCCAAGATGGTCGATGGGAAACAGCTACTAATTTCTCACTTTTACCAAGTAGGCACATTAAAAGCAAAAAAAAGAAGCACTAGACATGATTCATACCATATGTATCCCCAACCATGAACAATCGAGAGAGGAATTTTACTGATGAGAGTTAGCCAGATTTCCGTATATTTTGTAAAATAAAGGAAATAAAAAAAAAAAAGAAAATTGGAGAGGCAGGGAAAATGATTGCGCAAGGGCAAGAGAAACTAGTAATCTTTTTTACTTGGCCTAACATGTATAATTTCTAAAAGGGAATTTAATATAATAATGAGTGGGAGGAAGTATTAAATGGCACGATGTAATACAAACAAAACACCTGTCATATCACATTCGTTAGAATGCACTTTGATTGTAATTATATAATCCATACACAAAATATTCAAAATGATTTGGCCACTAGAAAATTGACAGAAGAGCTGTTTGATGGACGTCCCTAGTGCCTTAAGTGCCTCGAGGTTGTGCCAACATAAGGTACTATAAGCCAGAATTATTATTATTATTATTATTATTATTATTATTATTATTAAGGGGATATCGAGTAATTTCTAACGTAAAAGAAAAATAAACAAACAATACAGAAAGAAAACATTACATGAACTGAAGGCAGGATGATTGAGAAACAAATAGCAAAGAGACATGAAATTTAATTACGAAGAAAGATAAAACCATTGCAGACATTTCGCACTTTTAATTGGGCATGGACTACACCGATGGTTACTGGTCAAAGCAATTCAATGAGGTGCATTCAATAGATCATTAGAAATGATGATCCACTTAAAGTGTCACTAACAATCAGCACATTGCGTTGAGTTATCAAACGATCAAATAGCGCGGAGATGGACATCGGGCAACGCAGTGTGTGAAAACATACTGTGAGCTCTTCACTATCATGAAAACTGTATGCAGGTTAGTGAAAGATGGAATACTGTACAACATTCCTGTCATAACATTCAAATGTTTCCACATACAGGTAATGTTTAAATACTTAAAATATTTATAATACTGAAAATCATCTTGACAAGAAGCATTCAAAAACACTTTGGTCTTACCAATGTGAGAAAATCAATCTGGAAAGAGAATGCTTAAATCGTGTTCTGTAGAAACCTATCAATTATTTTGGAGCGTTACCTATCGTTCACTTTGCGCTCTTTCAAAGAATGAAATTACATGCTTTTCTCATATATTTTTATCAATTTGTTTCAATCAATCAATGTGTATTTCCAATCAAATGACTTGTATCATTCTTTCTTTTACTTATTCAACCTAAATTCAACCAAAATGAAAACAGTTATTAAATGTATTTACTTATGCTATCAGAATTATTTGATCAGGTGAATGTTAACTATAATTTATATTGCCTATTGCTACAGTTTGTAAACAAAATATTTTTAGACATTTGTAAACAAAACATTTCTAGACAACTGTTACCAGGAAGGAACAAATGCAATGCCGCTGATACTGTAGTAAATTGACGTGTTCCTTCACCTTGTTTACACAGGAACATAAAGTTCAAAAGGTTATATATTTCTAATGTACAGTATGAAGAACAAAAATGATTTAATGTCAGGCAATCAACGATGAATGCACGTCCTTCCAAGTTCCTAAAAGGATAACTGCATCAGTAGCGGATCGGGGGGGGGGGGGGGTTCACGGGGTCCAGACGAACCCCCCTCTGTGAAGAAACGTAACAAAATACTACTGGGTTCTGGCTTACAAAATTCATGCTTGTAACTAGATGTGGATCCAGACCTTTGCCCAAAGGTCAGGGTGAGAAATCAAAATAAAATATTGACCATTTTTTCCAACAATCATACTTACTTTCCTTGACACTTATTTTGAACATTACCATTCGGAAAATGTTTAAATCCACGCTATCCTATACCTTACACTTTTACACTGATTATACCAGAGAGAGGTACATTCCCAATACATTATAGTCTTCCACTTCTAGGCGCATGATATAAGCATAGAAAACGCTGCAAGAAAGCGCATAATATAACATGGGAATCAAACACAAACATCCAAGATCATGGTTGACATGTTTTGGAACATAAATCAAATTGACAAATATTTGCAACAAAAAGAGTTTTTTATTTAAAATTCAGACGAATCAAACACAATTTCTGTTATCTATTATCTTTTCCTTAATTCACCTTATAAGTCTAAGTTTGGGTTGGATTGGATTTACCTTTTCAACAATATCCATTTCTTCGAAAACATTTTAACATGTTTTCAAACTTGATGACAAAAATATATTTTACTACTACTATTATTACTACTATTAGTTA